AGGATCGTCTTAAAACGTTTGCCAAGCTGGAGAGAGAGGGGGGAGAGAGAGAGAGAGAGAGAGGAGGAGGAGGAGAAGGAGGAGGAAAAGAGGAAGAGGAGGAAGCGAAAAGGAAGAGAAGAAGGTCTCGGATATAATTTCTTCTCGAGCGCGGGAACTTTGGAGTTTGCGAATGCGGTGCGCATTAACTCGAGTGGCGGTTCGCCGTGGAATAATCGACGATCTACCGAAACTCGAGCACGTATATACACGTCGTGGCGGCCTCCCCGTTAATCTTCATCCGCGCGCTTAATCTCGTAAATAGCCGGGGCGCGACTTCGTCGGCGTTCGGCCGGCGCGGCGCCATCGCGCGCGCAGCACGTCAATGTTAATTACGTTTACGTGTTTCACATTTCGCTGGGTTCCGCGAGCGACGCGAAGGCGCGCGCGCTTTTGTTACTTAACGCACTTGATGTCGTCATATCGCTTGTGCAGTACCGGCCCATTAAATCGGCCGGCCACGGAGTGATCATCGTTCTCAACCCGGTCACGATCGCGGTCGTTTCCTCCTCTTCGTCGAAATGATCCTTGGCCCTCCCCCCTTTCCATCTCCGCTCCGCCGAGAAACGAGTGAGTCTCTCACAATTCCAGTCGCGTATCGACTGAAGCTCATTACGACATTACTCGCGCGTCAGCATAACGATTAATTTTCTTTCTCCGCTATCGCGGTGTGTGTGTGTGTGTGTGTGTGTGTGTGCGTGTGCGCGTGCGCGTGTGCGTGTGCGTGTGCGTGTGCGTGTGCGTGTGCGTGTGCGTGTGTGCGTGCGCGTGCGCGTGCGTGCGTGCGTGTGCGTGTGCGTGTGTGCGTGCGCGTGCGCGTGTGCGTGTGCGTGTGTGTATACATATATGTATATACACATATGTTACCCTTCATGTATAAGATATTACACGAAGGTGATCAAGGTTGCTGAGAGAGAACATTCCGTGTTATCTATATGTATACACTTACATTACTTTAGGATTAATCTCGAGATTCTTAAACTTTCTTGATCTTAAGACTCCTGTCTAGAAACTGCGGCTATATTGGAATCGTGACGTCATAAGCGAGAAATGACACATAAAAGTTTGTTGCGTGCTATTTTTAAATAAAGAAAATTTGGATAAAATAACAAAATGGGATCGCTTTAAAAAACTTGTAAAAATGGACGGAAACTACCCTTTTCCTCCCCCGACACTCAGTAAATAGTCGCAAAAAGTACGTAAAGTGAAAGCCTATTCAGGCAAGAAAACTCACGATTTGACAGCTGTTGAAAGGAATAAAAAATTTACTTTTATGATAAAATTCAATAATAACTTTAGTTTTCATTCGTTTTTACGACTTTGATAAGTACGAGACAAGTCACATTTTTACAATTAAGCACATAATAAAGAAATGGCATACAACACAAAATTCGTTGTCAATACTTTTCACAGAACGTCCATTATTCTCTTAAAGTCGAGTATTCTTTCCACATTTGACTGTGATTGATCAATTTTTACTGCTTACAATATCGGCAACAACATATTTTGTAGAATTATCATGATTTACGACTTATAACACCGAAATGTGATGTATAGAATGGGCTTAATACGATAAACAAGCTTTAATTTTTACGATGTAGTATTGCCACCGTCAACGCGGAGTTCGTGACTGATTAGGCAGGAGCCTTAAGGATGTATAGTACAATAGTAGCAAAAAGTTAAAGAAATTTGATTTTGACGAATATACTCTTCTCATATAGTTTGAATAATAAGAATTGTGCAGAATCTTATTATTTATTCAGAATTAGAGCGCAGAAAAATGCTTCTGTTGTTTATTTTCTGAGAATTTTTTGGCAGTGACGGTACTCCAAATCGGCCAAATCCAACCTAAACATTCAAATTAAAATTCTTATAACTTTGGATTGCTTTAGTAAATAGACTCTGGCTTTTGTCATAAGTTTCTAAATATATATATAAATAATCTGTAAAATTTTTGTTAAATTCTTAATATTTTAGAAATTCTTTATAAACATTTTTAAAATATTAGGAATTTAACAAAAATTTTACAGATTATTTATATATATGTTCGGAGACTTATGACAAAAGCCGGAGTCGATTCACTAAAGCAATCCAAAGTTATAAAGATTTTAATTTGGATTTTTAGGTTGAATTTGGACAATTTGAGATACCGTCATTGCCAAAAGATTCTCGAAAATTCGAAAATTTTCAGAAAATAAGCAACAGAAGCATTTCTACACTCTAGTTCTGAATAAAAGATAAGATTCTGCACAATTCTTATTACTTAAACTATATGAGAAGAGCATATTCGTCAAAATCAAATTCTTTTAACTTTTTGCTACTATTGTATGTATTATACATCCTTAAGTCTAAAAGAATTATTTAATATAGAATTTCAGCAAGAAAGTAGTTATTTTTTATTTTTCTAATATTTTGCGTGTTTGACAGTGATACTAACCTATATGCATATTGCGTCTTTAAAGATTTTAGCAACGGAAAAGACACATCTTATTTATACATTTATTTAATTAAATAGAGAAGAATGACATTGACCTCCAGAATTTTTATCTTGAAGCTTGATATCATTCTGTAATGAAAATACCATGGAAGATTTTTAGTGTTATTTTACAATTAATGTAATATTAAAGTATCACATTTTTAAATCTTTTTTTAGAGTTATTTTTTATCTAGCTTTTGTATATAATTAATTTATCGGTTAAAATTATTTGCTGATTGTGCCATTAATCATGTTTAATTATAAATCTCTTTATTGAAGACGGACCGAAGTAACCTACACAATATTGAAGTTATTACAACTGTAACTGTTCCATATACATTTTTCTTTCTTTGGCCCTAACAATAAATAAAGCTGTGGAAATGAAATTTTAAAATTATATTACGATTATAATGTTGGGGGAAATAATAGAATTGATAAATTTTTTCAAAAAGGTTTAAGTTATTTTATTTATTTCATAATTTGTACGGGATTCAAGAAATGGAAAATATTATATTATGTAATAATGAACTGAGAGAGATATATAAATCCCAGATATGTTCAAAATCTTAAAGATGTTTTAAAGATTTATGTCTTGATTTCGGACATGATACTATATGTAATTTACAAAAAATATATAGAAAAGAAAATACAACAATATATCTTATTGTACACAATAGAGGAAAGATATAAATTTAATAATTGAAATCAAATAAATATAAGTAGCTACAGCTATCGAATAAATCGGAAAATGACCTGCATCAAACGATTATCGTGGGACAAATTATTACTGCTATATCAAATAGATCGATATAAGTTTTCTATAAAAAAGTGGCCCTCAAGAATTGCTAAAAGCATCTAGCTTACTTGTCTTTTCTAAATAATGCACCTATACTTTATGACGTTCGTTATCGTTAACCCGATCACGCATTCGGTTTCGATATCCTGCCATTTATGGCGACGTTACGACAACGAATTTCGGTCGAGGGTGCAATCGACGAGCGTGCGTTGCGTGCATTATATGCATGCAATATACGGCGCACCGCGATATACGACATCTCGAAAATTACGTACGGTCTCTTGTCACGTAACGGCAGGCAAGGTACTTCCGTGTAACCGCTATCGAGCTTTATATCGCAATAAGTTGCCGGACCAGGGTATCAATTATATGCATTTTCGCGAAATCTTACAAGAAATCTCTCTAGTCGAGAACATTGTACGTTTCGTATTACAGACAAAAATGAATTTTTAATACTTGGTTTCTCTTTTCTTGAGAAAAATAGAAACTCATTTTGCACGGAATATTTCTGTTCTATTTTCGTTTTCTCGAAAACGTCGATACACATTAAGCTATTTCGTCTTGAAAGAAATTAAAACATTAAAATTCCGTTTCGCTCAGAATAAAACGCAGGTAATGACAATAGTATTTATTAAAAAAGTAAATGCAATTGTGACGAATATTTTCCAATTAATTCTGTAATCATAAAATTTTATCACATATGTTAATCACGAAAAGTATTTTAGTATTTTAATAATTTATTACTACAATTTATTACTTATACACAATTTATTTTTACAATTTGTACACGTTATACAATTTTTAAATGCATTAATTCAACTGTCAAATATTTTAATATTAATAAATCACCAATTAAATATTGCAATAAAATATTATGTTTTAATCGATAATATTGTACGCGTAATTTTTACACAATTATAAATCAAGAAATAATAAAATAAAATTGATAAAACTTAAGATTAAAATATTACTATTTTTAATAAATAATGCTTATACTTATTAAAGCGCTATTTGAAAAAATATCAATTTTAGAATCACAATTTGTATAATACATCCTTATTATTGAGATTGTTTAATAAATAATGTTTTTACTAAATTTCACGGCATGCCGTAACGCCATAAAATTACTAAGAAATTATTAAAATAATATTGTCTATAAGCACATTGTACTTCGTAGTACTTAATAAATAAAACGAAACTTCATAAAGTTTTGCACAGAGATCGATAATATGTATATTGACGGTTATCAAGATGAAGTATGCAAACACCTTCCCTGATATATTATGGAATGGGATAAAATAAAGTTAGAGAAGCATAGAAGGGACGACTGCATACCGATCTTATTTTACAGGTTTATAACTTGTTCAATGCTGCTAACATAATTCACCGACATTAAGTATGCGCGGCGCGCGATGGCTGGCTCAGACTTGTCGCGCAGGAAGCTTTATCGCTTGCGAAAAGCGTGATAGTGGCGCACAGTGAGCGAAATCGCTAATCTAGACATACAGCCGGAGATTGAAACTACACATTAGGGTGAAGGATGCGCGACTTCACTTCTTTGAATGCGGAACGAAATGACACGCGTGATAATTCCTATACCTCTAGAAATTTAAATTAATCGTCTCAATTGATAGTCGATGTCGAAAATTTTACGTTTGTCCTCACGGAGTATTTTATTGATTGTTGCAGATATCAAAATGGGTTGTTTCGGGAGCAAAGACAAGTTGAGCAAAGAAGACATGGATTTCCTCAAGTCGCATACGCGATACGACGAGGCGACCATAAAGGAATGGTACAAAGGTTTTAAAGTGAGTATATATTTGAAGGTTGCTGGATATTAAGTAATGGATCGAGAATTAGAGTGCTAAAATGCGAATAGTTTGCTAAAAATGCAGTCGTTATATATTTCACAACGACTTCAATTTTATTCCGTATATTCCTATATAATCGCACTGTACTTTTCCTGTGATATATTACGATGGTGACGATAAAAGACGTTTAAACAAATGCTTTGTTGGAAGATGAAAGATTATTCGCACAAACTGTATCTCCAACGTTGAAAGAACTGTTTTCATTTCTATCTTTCGCTGAGAGCTTTACTTTTTATTTGCGTGACCTATTGTTAGAATTCTTAGGCCACTTAGTATTTCCATTATTTATCTATTTGCGTAATAATAACGAGTACGAGCATGATGAAAGAACATTAGTTTACTGTAGAAAATAATATTTATTGTAGTATAAATTATAGTTTCTTTTTAAAAATTTTTGCTGACGCTAAGTAACATTTTAAATCGGTTCTCACACGATAAATAAATTACATAATAATGTTCATTGCATTGCTAGTGATTCTGCGCAATTATTGATCCTTATTACCGATTTAAATGCTTTTTAAACAAATTTTTAATTGCGTCTTAATACAAATTTTCGTTATTATAGATTTGTGTTTTTAATCATGCAATATATGTGTTACGATAAAATATTGAAGAAAGGATTTGTATTGATTTTGTATAAAAATTTCGAAATAAATATAAATGCGCCAGCTCTTCCAGAGTCATAAGATTTTATTATAAATGAAAGCACAAAGAAAGATTTATATGCATATATATAAAGGATGAATTTGTTAATTTATATACATATATATGTGTGTATAAATTAACAAATCCATTCCCTTTTGAATATTCTGAAAACATAAATGAGAATATTCATAATTTTCTGATTCGTTAAAGGAGAGAAATAGCTGTCATTAATGGCTTGTACTAGTTCAGCGTAATCATAGTAAACATTTACAGATCGGTAATTTATGAAAGTCTATACATATATGAATAAAATTGATGCAAATTCGTTAATAAACGTTGCGACGCCATATATATATCTGTAATACGTGTCAGTTGGAATAAATATGCAGTCACTCGTATTCGCAATTATGTCACATTAAATACGCTACGATATTCCGCAAGCAGATTGCGAAAGCAAATGCAAAAATGTAGCTCTCTTTTTCTCATTGAAAAGAAGCAGAGAGAGAGAGAGAGAGAAAGAGAGTGTGGTTATACACGAAATCATAAGGCTCACGCTTATGAAATTTCATAAATAAAATTTTTCGACTAAATTACAACATATATTGACAAGAAAATCTATTTATATTCATAGCTTATTTCATTACGAAAATGTAAAACTTATTTCATGTGTATAAATACGGTTTTTTTAGAAATATTTTTAACAATTTAATGCACTCTATAAATATAAATTTAAATATAAATTTGAGTTTTATATGTATAAATGCAAAGCGTTGACTGTGTTCTCGTTGACACTGTAATTATATTGTAAAATGCTTTTGTTATTAATAATTAATAATTGATATATGGGATGATTAATGCAATAATTGATGTTACATCTTTCTAATGTATTATGATACATTATTTAAAAATAGTCGTGTGAGAAGATCCGCGCGTCTGTTAAGCTGACACAGCTAATGTAGTACAATCGCATTAAATTTACATTTATTATGTATGTTTGTTTTATTCGATGTACTGCAGTGGCTGTGGTAATTTAATAGAAGTGATTTCGAAGCTAATTAAATCGATGTACGATATTTATTTATTTATTCTATGGCAATTATTAATTTATTCCTCACATATTCGACGCGTAGAAATAAACCACATTGACGCTATGTGTTTTATAATTTGTATTTTAAATATTTTATACTATAAATTGAAAACATCACGTACAATGATGCAAGTACTCGCGGCATTACCAACTTGATATTTAATTCATTGGCATTTAGGTCATTGTTAGATCTAAATTAGAGTGTTATTATCTTAGCATACACGTTATCTCATTCATACAACGCAAACAATATGTTTATGTATAAATCATAATACGGCATACAGTATAAATATTTATTCAGCATTGATGCGATTCAGTAGTGCTTGAGGCACGTCTTTATTTATATTGTGAACATATATTTTATACAATAACAACGTTGTCGTGTCAAGATTCGTTATCTTGTCTCGCTACGTATATAGCAATTATCGTCATTTTATGCGAAATGCATACGTGAAATGCATTTAATGAACATGTGGAGAATCTCACACAATATCTTGCAAGAGTCTGAAATTAAGATCCCCGATTAATTTTCATGCACTGACACGTCAATGTAGCGTCAATTTTACAGACACGTTAGGAAGTACCGTATCGTCAACAGCATTTCAAGCGTAAGCCATTCTTGCGGGATAAATCAATCTGGATTACGGATGACGAGAGGGAGGGGGGGGGGGACGACTCTCACGAGCTGCGATATCGGGAGCGGGACGTGACGTTTTCACGGAAGTTGCTGGTGCCGCGGAAAAGTTACTTTCTCGAGTAGTTTAAACAGGCGCCGATCCAACAGAGAGCCCGATGGCGACCGGACTAATTGAACCGAGCGGACGTTCCGCAATCTGGTCGCGTTTCACGGCGACTCGTTGCCTGCCATCCCCCCCTCCCCCCTTGCCTTCCTCCTCCTGTCGCGCGATTCGCAATGAATCTCGCTCGCGACTTGGCTGAGTCTGTGGATTGAAATAAATGAAAACTGATCACAGCGTGATCCGACCTTAGCGGAGAAGTGTGATCGGAGGAGATTGAAAAATATATCGCGCGCGTACGCGCGGGCACGATGCTCGTTTTTTTAAGAAGGTCGAGACGAACGGCACTAGATTAAGGCCAATCTGATATGAGGGGAGCGATGATACTGAAACGACGTGATTTTTTTTTCTCAGAACCACCCCTCCGTATCTTGCGCTCAACCGGCGAGACAGAGGTTGAGCTGCGATCGATAGAATTCACCAGGGAGATGAAAGTCTTACTTTAGTCAAATCGGTTAATTTAGACGCGACATAATTTTAGTAGAGAGTATTTTTGTTCAGACCGATTTAATATACATATATCTATATTTAATAAATCTTATACTTAAATTATGAAGAATATTACTGAAGCAAATACTCTTCTGCTCACAATCAGTAGGGGGACATGGGGATCCTTCGTACACGGGGCACATACATACATTCAGTGATTTGGGAAAAATCGCGCAGATTCGAGACACGTCTATACATATATTTAGTTAGTCTTATTGCGCGGCCTCATGTCAGCAAAATTTCATATTAGTCAGACTATGTAAACCGACAGAGCAGGATATTACGTGTTTTAGCGCTGTCTGAATAAATTTTCCAAGGTATTTGACAAGTAATTTAAGGTATCTTTGATTCAGGTTATAAACAAGAACAATATTTTTCTAGTAAATAAAATGTCTTAAAATTATACTTTAATCATTAATTTTATCGTATTGTTAGTGAATTCTATAAAAAATAGCGTAATTATTTTCTTTTGAATTTGGGGTAGATTCGTACACAAGCATGAGGGCATCTTTCGTATATGTATATATTATTGTTACTTAATTAGAAAAATTATTTTAGTTTGAATTTTGATTTTAACATTGATTTAAATACTGATTTAAAGAAGTTTATTTTATTAAGTTTATTTTATGCAGAAATTTATAAAAGATGTTTAATTAGCTTCTGACAAGATTGTTTCTATTTAAATTTTAATTATCAATAAATATTTAGAATAATAATTTTAATGTTTTATGTTTATATCCAAAGCTATCCCATGCGTACATAGGTGCCTTGTTACATGTACGAAGCTACCCCGCCTGAGGGGTAGATTCGTACGATTTTCAAGTTTTGTAAAAATCATCTGCGTTTAGTTGTATATTAATTTATTTTAATTGCATGTTTTTATTGTAGCTGGATATCTATACTATTTATTGATACAAACTTAAGTAGTGTAAAAGCATTTAACACAGTTTGGGAAGCAAAACTTCCAAAAGCGTACGAAGGATCCCCATCTTCCCCTACACTGTTAAATCTATAGTATCAAATTTAACCTTATTTAAGTCGCCACTACTCTAATTTAATATACATAGTTATTTTTAAATAAAACAATGAAATTTAACTCAAATTTGAACTGTTTTAAATTATTTAACTATATTGTTTTAGTTAAAAATAATTATTTATTAAGTAGGAGCAGTGGAAACTTAAATAAAGTTAAATTTGACACTATATTTAACAGTGTATATGTATAAGCACTATTTGCATTGAACTAAATTTGTCAATCTGGTTATTACAGAAGATATAATAGCATTTTGAGCAACTTATTTTCTACGTTAACATGACTTGTGTTTCTACGTTACATATTTAATTTTTTTTTTACATACGATAACAATTTTTAATATGTCTCTATGAAAGAGCATTTATAGTTAAATGTTAAAAGAATTAAAAATGAAGAGTACAATAAAGAATATGTATATATAGAATTACGAAAATGTCATTCAATAATTTACGCATAAGCAAATTGGGATCGAAACTTTATTCGTGTAATGTATTGTAGCTATAATTATATAATTAGGAGAGAGTTGCCGAAATCGTGCCACTTAAGATATTTTTGATTATATTTCATATTTGGTACTATTTTACATGCAAACAAATGTTAAAAATTATAGCTTGATGTTTAAGGCATCTATTATTACATATTAAACCTTTTGCTAACAGCAACTTAATGTGTTTTCTGTAATGTGCTTTTCTGTAATGTGCTGCAGAAAGCACGATTCAACAAACCGGTCACTTAAATTGTACCTATGAGTTTTATTAATAGTACCTGCTTTTAAACTATTAAATTTATGAATGAAAATAATTAAAAACACAAGATTAATGAAAAAATCATGAATTAATATCTGCTTTATTTGTAATTTATCAAACAAAAGCTGTTTTGCTTGCGCAACTCAATGACGGTTGTTTCCTCTACAGACTTAGCTACAGAACAGCTTCGATCGTGTTAAAATAAATAATATTATATTATACTATATTATATTATACTATATTATTAATTTTAAAATAAATAATGTTGATTATGTCATATGATCTAAAGATAAAGATACATTAGTGTTCCTAAATTGTACCAATACGATATAAGAACTCTTATGCTGGTTAGTATAATTTTTAACATTCTTGCGTTAGGTACGATTTAGGAACTTGACAGAGATGATAAAAATATTGATATAATTTTTATAATAATTGTAAATATGTATATACGATGAATGTAAAATATGCTGTAATAAACTTTCTTTTAGGAAAAAATAACTTAATTATAAATTGCATGGTTATATTAGTATCAGCTATATAAATTGATAAAAAATTTACATCAATTTACATCAATCTGATTTTTTTAAATATTGATAGTATGCACAAAACAAGATGTAACCTATTAATTTTTTGTCTATCTTACACATTTCTTATTTACTTCATATTTTTGTTACTAAATGTTGCTTCTATTAAGCGGAACTATAAAATATTGAAGAGGTACGATTTATGAGACCGGTACGCATTTGGCAACTCTCCCTTATACCTTAGGAATGAAAAAGTGGAGAAAAAAACTTGTTAAAAATATAAAGAAAAAAATTGTTATCAAGCTATTATTGCTCATTTATAAGTATATGTAATAATATAATAATAAATAATAATAGAATACTATAATGATTATAATATTAATAATAATTTAAAAAGAATTTAATAAATAGGAGCAAAGTAAAGTTGTTAAAAAAAAAATTAAATATACATGACACGCGTAACGTAATTCTGATACCTCGAAAATTCACGATTCCGTATTCTTTTCAAATGTTACAGCAAGACTGTCCTAACGGCAGGTTAACGCCGGCGAAATTTGTCGACATGTACAAAATGTTCTTCCCGTCCGGCAACGCGGAAGAATTCTGCGACCACGTGTTCCGCACATTCGACATGGACAAGAACGGCTACATCGATTTTAAGGTGAGTCTCGCAGGTTTTTTTTACGGGGCTGACGCGAATTGGTGCAGACTGCTGTAACGACTATCGACGGATCCTTTCAAAGAAGATCGCGTCGCGTGACGTACTCGCATATCAATCATTTCGCGTGATTAAACACGATCGCCCGCGACAAAATCCTCGCGACTGATTGACTCGAGGAAAACGCATTAGATGCCGCAATACTTTCATCGAGAGGAGAAGATCGAAGAAGGAGCTTTTATGACGTGGAAATATATCGTTCGCGAATATATCGTTGAATTTAGATCGATCGGCGAATATCGGGGAGTTCGAATATCGGAAATTTGGTCGGAAACTGTGGATCGGAAACTATACGAAAAAAAAAACCGATTGGTCAACAGTGAGACGGTAAAACGATGCGCTAAGGCGCAAGAAAGATTTCTCCATTCTTGACGCAGAAATTCACGAGGGAGAACGCGTGCTACCTACATCCGATTACACGCTTGACAAATGCTTGCTACGTAAATCTTTTCCGAGATTTAGACTTGGAGACTCCAAGATCGCATATTCTTTCCGTATCCGGTTGTCCGTAATTGCGAATTTATGTCCTTTATAATCCGCTTAAACCGTTAATAATGCATTATTCATATGATGCGATGTAAGCACTGCCGCTCAGTCCTCCCCGTCACCTTCCATGGTCCCTTCTCGCTTCGTGGCTTCGTAACATCCTTGACTCGACTCGAAACTTGAAATCCTCCGAGAGATATGGCTCTCGCGCGCGCCTGTGAGCACAGAGCGAGCGGATATTCTCGCTATTGCCATCGGTATACGCTGGTCGGTAATTCAATATACCTAAGTTCGCCAAAGGTACGACGCGTCGTGTTCGCCAGCCGGCGAATAGCTATTTGACATCTGACCCGAATAACGCCGAATAAAACCCCGAGCTTTGTCTAACATCTTGTGCTTTGTGAGGTGGTCTCTCGCGTCGCATCGCTGATCAAAGTCGTCCTGGAGCGACTACGTGATTTGCCGTAGCCAGGCATTCTTCTCGGATGCAAACGACGCGCGACTTTTTAGCCTCCTCGTATCACCTTGTTCTATCTTCTTATCTCACCCTTCGCCGTATCGTGTTTTTAATTTTCAAATAAGCGTCATTTTTTATGCGATCCTCATAATTAATTTATAAAACTTATTAGTATTATCTTATCATAATTTTTTATCTCTTACAATTAGAAATATAATCTGGAGTTGATAAAAGAAATAGCAAGTAGATTCATAAAGTATGTAAAATTTTATACAAATTGTAAAAAATAAGAAAAAATGTATGTAATATTGTAATATTGTGTTTAGTGAATTGACAGTTATATTACAAGGGGGGATTTAAAAGTAATAACAATTATATTTATTAGAGGAAAATATCATGATGTTACACATTATAGTCATTTTCTCTCATTTACCTCGATCCTAATACTGCAAGAAATATTGCAAATTAAGGTGAGAGATAGCGAGAGAGAAAATTATTTGTACTTTGAAATAATATCAGAAATTCTATATTACGTATTCAGAGTACCTAATATACATATAACATTTATAAAATAAATTAAAAATCTCAATATAATTTTTGTACAATAATTGCACCTATTGCTATCAATTTAATTCGCATTATATTAATATTATGATATCGAGAAAGAATATAATAATATTGTGTTTTTTCAATTGCAATTGTCTTTTATGAAACCTATTAGTGGAAGTACCTACGTTGAAAGATATGTTAAATTATATTTTGTAAAAAAATAATCGTTAGATAAATATAAAGTCTGAAAAGATTTCTCTTATAAGATTTCAGTTTAATACATTAATACGTAAAATTCCATTTTCTGTTTTTATAATATCGCGTTGCAGCAACTAATCATTTGCTCAGCAAAGCGTATTACAAATGCGTTTTTTTAACAAAATTATTGGAGTGAACTATTTCCAAAATATGTCTTTCAATGTGTAAATAATTTACCTAAGTCTTAAGACACTATTTGTCTATAAATAATTGTATTAGTTTCATAATAAATTATTTACTTCATTTTATGAAAAAGTTTTACATGTGATAATCTACACAGAGAAAATGATTTTTTTGGATTCAATAAATTTTATTGTATTCAAACAAATTTGTTATTTGGAATAGTCAAACAAACTAATGTTTGAATCAATAAGTACGATTGTTTGAAACAATGCATATCTTCGTCTTAAATAAATTGCATAGAACAATATATCAAAATATTTTACTATTTTCACATAAATAAATTATTTGTTTCATTGTTCGTATATATTATAATCAAATAATACATGATTTGGTTGAAAGATATTACTTTAAATAATAGTGTTATTTCCGTTAAGTAATAGAAATTTTTTGAAAGAAATAACAAAATTTTAATGGAAACAAATAATTTCGTATAAGCATATGTTGTTTCAATGAAACAAATATCAGCCAGATAAATAGGAATTCTAAATCTAAAAAAACCTTTTTCTCTGTGTACGTAATATATTAACGATATAGTGTAATTATATGCTTGATAGTTTTTCATTAGTAAAAATTTAATGAAAAATTATTATTTTACAATATTAAATATCATGAGACTCAGTTCTCGATTTAAAATTTTGCAAAAATAAAATCTTATAATTAATGAAAGTATGAAGTTTGTCTGTTGAAATTAAGTGAAATACAGGATTTGTTACCGATTATTAAAGTCCCATGATTTATTAAAACTAACTGAAATATAAAGTTTGTTATTATTTGAAACTAATCAAAGTACTAAGTTTATTATCTATTTACATTTCTAACGCATAACTTACGGAAATTATCAAGGTATTAAGTCACCGTAGCTTACCTCTTTTATAAACTTCCTGGAATGAAAAACAGACATCTGCTTTCAATTTCCTTATTAAAATTTTACTCGGAAGCAAATAGAAGAGAGGGACTCTACATACTAAACATAAATTATCCAATAAAATGAGAATCCGTGGAACAACTGCAATTTTACAAATTATATTTTATCGCGAATGTAATTAGAATTGCTTTTTGATTGCTTCTTTTATAATTTATGTGGAGAACAGAAGTAACGGTAAGCAGTACACAATAAATCGTCCAAAGTCTCGAAACGCGCGCAAACAAGCCGGTCCACATAACTAAACAAAACGAACCAATCTACGTTCCAAATCACGAATATACAAACTTCGTCCAAGCAGTCCATCGACGCGGACGTTTAATACCTGGCGAGTTGTAGATACCAATCTGCCTCGCGCCTGTATCTCGCGGCCGTGCAGCACTTAAGAAATTTCCCGTTGTGAGATGGTGAAGTTTCGCCAGAGTTTCGCCGATACGAGAGAGGCCCCATTGTAACTTCATTGCTGGCCGTGGAAGTTCTGTTTATGTACACCGTGTACGCTCGCGTAAGCTCTAAACGACTATTATTCCAATATTATGTAAACCTGGCGACGAGGACGTGGTTTCTCGCGCGATTGCATTGTGTGTCGCTACGAATATTGTCGCGACGCCGCGCGCCGGTAAAGGAGACACTTGCAAACCTCAGCGTTCAGCTAAGTGTGCGAGCTTCACCGATAAGCCGATCAAGAAACGAGGGCTTCATCCTAGCCGCAGAAACGTTGGCGTTCTCCATTCGACTCTCGTTATCGTGTCGAGACGAATAGCTATATATATATACAATAGCCGTATAAAAACTCGACTTCTCTTTTTGTGGACGCTTTCTCCCCTTTTCATCGCGTTCCCTTTGGATATAATAACATTATTTTCCTTGCTATCCGTTTTTCTTCGGGGGAAAATCCGGACAAAATCGTCGTCTGAGTTTGACCCTTAAACTTACGGATATCGTCTAAATGGGAAGAACTTCCTTCGATGACGTCTTCCAGATCGTCGATAATAATAGCGGCAATAATAAACGATAGAATTTTATGGAAAGAGTATATGTATGTCTCTTCAGCGAGAAATTTTATGGCGTCGTTCAACATTGTGAAGTCGATTTTCGCGGATAGAAATCGAAAAATCAGTTTTTTATTCGTTATCTTTATTTTTTTTTATTTATTAATCTTATTATCATTAAATGCTAGAAAAACAGGGACAGAAGAGAGAAAAAGAAAGAGAGAGAGAATCGATTTTTTTTTATTTCTTTAAAGTTCAACTTGGAGAATATCATCAAGAATAAATTGCTATTCTTTGTATATTTAACTTTGACGAACAAATTTCATATCTAAATTTATTTTATTTTTACTCTTTACAACATTGAATTTACTTTATTTCAGCATCTATAATTTTTAAATTAATTCCAGTTGTTATGAAGAGTTATGATAAATCAGGGTTACCATAAATCTGGAAAACCGGGAAGACCTGAAAAAATTAAGGAAATTTAAACTAGTCAGGGAAAACCTGGAAAAGGGAAAAAAATAAAAGAGCCTGGAATTTTGAACTTTGCTCACAATTTCCTTAAAAGGATTATTTGTTTTATCGACGAAACTCAATAATTTTTGTACAATGTTTTTGTATGAATTGCTTTTTCTGATTTGAAAATCCTTTTTCAGAATTAAACAATAGGTAGACAATAACAGAATGAAATGAAATTTGTATGAAAATCGACAAATTTTCAAAAATTACGATTTTGTTCAAGACTTCTCTCTGTTATCGGAATTGAAAATATTCTGAATATTTACCGATATTAAAGAAATGTCTACAGGAATCTTTCTGCTTTTACCACTGAGTTTTTGTCTGATCTTTAAGCAACGGAAAATTCAGTTATACCAAAGGAATTTTTTTCTGTAATTTATTGCATAACATCAATGTCAAAGCAATGTTAATATTAATTTGTTGGCCTAAATTTACATTTGGGATTATATTATTGTTATTAAACTTTTAAATTGATGTTGCTTTGAATAATATAAATTATCTTTCTTGTAATACACTGAGAAAAAAAAATTGATTGTACGAACTTTTGTGTAGTTGTTTGATCCAATGGTTGATTCAA